TTGCCAAAGCTTCTTAAGCGAAGTTAGGTTCCTTATCAGAGGAATTAAGAAAAGCTTAAGAAAATTAGAAAAGCTTTGGCAGTGTACCAAAGTTTAGTCAAGTCCAAGATTGAATTTGCACATTCTTCCCCTTGTAAGTTTTCAAAGTGTATTGAGAAACGTAAACAAACACTCGAAAATAGTACGTTAAAAAGTTGTTCTGGACTGACACCTTCAACTCCCCAACATATCCTCAATAGCATGGAACGTCATGTATATGAAGCTTTCCTTTTTTGAGAGAGACATGTCGATACTGCCTCTTGCAGCTACACATTTTGTTATCAAAAAGTTCGATTTCTCTCTGAAATTTCTTTCCCAACAAATGTAGAGTCTTCAAGAACATTCTTGACTTGATCTCCACCTCAAAGCAATTTCTCATGTATGAGGATCTTCTGTCAAGCTTCTTCTTTTCAAAGACTATGATGTATAAGCCACTGAGATAATCAATATGCGTTTGATATACACCGGATGTTATATGAATTTCGGATGAATGACACCTAATCACTGCGGCTCTTTTTTAAATGAAAAACCTGACTTTCGTGCAAAAACGGCTCAAGTTGATGGTAAAATTTCATCAATCATATATACTCCCAATGAAGTAGTATGGACAATCCGTAACCACATGTTTCAACAACTCAATAATGAATTTACAGAGATCGCGAGTGTTAAATCCAATCGCATTTTCTATAAAATAAATCCGACATTAGAGTTTAAAGCCTTATCTGAGACGTTGTTTAATTCCCGGGAAATCAAAATTCTTTATAGACTCACGATATGATAAAGTGTATTTAAAAATGATTCGTGCTAGAAGATGCGATATTTGTGAAGTTTGCAATATTAGTGAGTCTGCTGAACATCTAATTTTCCGATTTAACAGGCTTGGAGATATTAGAAATTTGAAATTTTATTTATTCTCAATATGTTATGAAATATTCATACTCTGAAAAAGTAACATCGAAAATATATTCTTTTGAACGAAGTTATTCCCACTTTTATCTTGAAATGAAATGTTCCGTATGAAGATTTCAATTCTAACGTATATTGACACAAGCTTTACTTTTCAAACAGCTGTCTGTTGATTCATTCAGTTATTCAATGATTAATATTTTTTGTCTGCATTCTGATAATTGTACGCACGTATACTTTTTATGCGTTTTGTCTGCAATATATTACAGGTTTTTTGTTAGAAACGCAGGCCAGATTCCAACAAGTTCGCATCCAGATTCCGACAAGTTCGCATCCAGATTCCAACAAGTTCGTACAGTATTTTTAACCGAAATATTTCTCCAAAACTCACATGCAGATCCCAAATAGCAGAGGATTTTCTTTCAACTTTGTAGGATTATAAAGCCGCTCATCCACATTTTAGCTTCTCAAATGGCCAAGAACTGCTTTCGTTATGTTAATAAATTATAATTTATATCAAAATATATTTGTCGCGGATTAATGCGTTTCTATTTTAAATTACTTTATTAAGTTCTTTAAGAAGTTCTTTCGGCCTTTCCATTGATTCTACAGCTGTTTTTATTTCTAATCTGCATACCCCCCATTGATTTTTAAACATTCATACATGTGTTAACATATTCGCCTTAGCATGTCATGGTCGCAGTCTTTTTGTTTTTATAAATTTTTCTTGCATATAATTATTATCAGTTATTATCTGTACATATAAGCCAAAAGTCTTTTTTGATTTGGCCCATTGTAACGCAACATGCAAACAAAAAAATGGCTATTATCAATATAACACGAATTGTATGGTTTGTATAAAATATATAATTAAAATACTAGAGTAGAATAATCAATTAAAAAGTATACTGTTTCAAATATACTGAGCCTTGAAATCGAGAAGATAATCAGCCCATAGGACTTGCAAATATAATTTTCCTTTATTTGTTTACTATTTGCTAAAATCCTATTCTATTAAATATTTTATGTAAGCTTGTTTGATACCTACAAAAAAATGGCAAAATTTTGAAGACATTTCTTACTTTTCGTTTTATTTCTCAATGGCATCGGTCGTATTTAAATTTATTACAGCGTCACCCTGTAATTAAATTTCACCGCACGGAGCAATGTTGTTACTTTTTATCGACAATGTAAAGGCAGCACCGTATGTGTCTGTTAAATGAGAAATTAGTGCCGCAAATCAGTTAAAGTAGAAGAAGCTATCGCCAACAAACCTTATCGCGCAAAATTAATGCAATTTAACTAATTCTTCAAAAATTTTAATTTCTTATAAAATAATTTATTACTCTATATTTTTTCTTTAAGAATTTGTTAAAAAACAATACCAAATGGCGTATTAATCTTTCGCTTCCAATAGAAGCCTTTATGCTTTGAAAATATATTTTTTAAATGATGGCACGCAAGCGTGGATGTGATTTGATGATATACATCGATGAGACCACATTAAGGAATGTATTAACCATAAGACGAATTTAAGTCGAGAGACAGAGCTTGCTTCAAAATTTAATCAGTAGTAAGAATATTACATACCTGAGTTGTATTTCCAATTGAGCCGCGCTAAAACCAGTTCGTGAAACTGCTACTAAAATTAGGCTAGGCTTCAACAAGAAAACTGTTTGCATATCTTTTGCCTGAATTGATCACATCTTGATCGTCCTGCACGAAGCTCACTAAAGCGTGTATTACACCAAAAATTGACGCCATATTTTCTTCGTTACCTTACAAGGAAAAAACGGGGTTTTCCGCTTCGCTTAAAATAAAAATATGTTTCTTTGGAAGCGCTATGTGCGATTGTAGGTTTGTTGGAGGATCGGACGAAGTAGACAATGTTTCTTTATCAGGCTCTGCTTCATATGTACCTTTTCTAACCGGGGATCCTGTGCAAAGTTTTTTAGCAGGTGTGGGAGGCACACATGGCCTCCATTGTTGTTGCTTACAGCTTCAACGTCGATCCTTTCGAAAATTCTAATTTTTACTTATGTTTGTCGTGTAAGTGCTATTGTTTACGGCAAAGTAAATTTTATGCTTAGAAATTGAAATTTATATTCTCAGCATTTGTCTCTTAACTTTGTGTACAGTTGTGTCGTAAATTTGCGTGTATTTTGTTGTTGCACTTTTTAAAATTTCTGCTACTTTATTATAATTTTTATATATTGTCATAATCATAGTTGACAATTATTTGCAAAATTATAACAACATTCGGCTCCCGCGTTGGGCGCTATTTTTTGTCATGCTTTTGTTATGTATTCTTATAATGCTCCGTCTATTCTTTCTCAATTCATTACATTGTTTTATTTACTATTCTTTTCTTTAGCGCCCTGCTCACAAGCTGTGACCTGAAACCTGGTTTACATCCGTCCGTAGGACATATTGCCTGTACTGTTCGTTGTACGTTGCTTCATTGTTGGTCCATTATTCCCCGTTCCTTACCCTCACTCAGACGCACACCCAACCATACCCTGTCTCAGCGGTACCTACTGATTGCTTATTTAAGCATCACTCCTTTTTCTTTTCTTTTTATGTACTTTCTAGTAAAAAAAAAAATAATAACAAAAAATTTCAAAAATTATTTTTTTTGAATTGTTTTTATTTTGTTTCTTTTTAGTATAAGGAAAAGATATTTTGGTTCAGGTTGGTATTGTGTGTTATAAACTTAAAGATAATCTTTATATTAATTTATCTTCCAGTTTTTTAGTACTATCGTTTTCATTGAGATTTCTCGTGCTTTGTACAGTTTTTGTTTTGCTTAGATCTGTTAAGCAGAGAAAATTTGAAGCCAACCTCACATGACAGTTGTTAACTCTACGAATTACGTACCTATATAACAATTATTTCAAAATCATGTGGTTTTTCTTTCGGTTTGTTCACAAGTCTATATTTTATATAAATATTTTGGATTTTTTTTCTATATATAGCTTTAGTAAATAATATTTTCGTTTCGAGATTTTCTATCTATTTGTATGTACATATACCTTTATTTTTTTGGTTCATGACGTTTCTCTTAGTACTTATGTATTGTCTTTTCTTTTTTCTCTGCAGCAGTTCTTCTTAGGTGCACACTCAATTTAGTTTGAAAGAATAATTGCGCTTCTGTCTAATATTTTTATTATTACTGGCTCCCTTAAATGTATATACTAATTGGGTTGGTTTATTTGTTGCTTGTCTACAGCTGTTGATTCTGCTTAAATCCCTTTCTCTTTATTTTGTTTGTCTTTTTTTTGAGTTCGTTATATTCTTTTACAAGAACAACATCACGAAACTTCTCTCACTCATTCGATATGTTTTCAGAATTTCTTCTCCTCTAAAGAATGTATTACGCTAAAAACAATTTCTAGAACATTCAAAATCACACTTAAATGAATCACTTTTGTTCAACATGTGTTCATTTAATGATTATAAGCTGTAGGCCAAGTGTATTCTAAATGTTTTAAATGCAACAACAAACTTTTCTACTTAATACATGCTTAGGAAATATATATTATATCCAAAATTTGAAGTTTGAGTATGCATTGCCGGGATATTTCTTTTTACTTCAACTTAAATGTAATTTCAATCGTTTTAAACTTCATTTTATGCATACACTTTTGTGTAAATTTTATTTATTCTAAAATGTTCGTTTAAATATTTTTTATTACAAAAAATTTTTATTTCCTTTTAAACAACTTTAACCTTTACATAAATGCCTGGGTATTTTCATTAATCAGCATCTCACTTTGAGAAACATATTGAGCTCGCCAATGGAAAGTGTTGGGTACTTTGCGCTCAATTTACTCCAGTAATACTCATTTGCCGTGATTATTCAAGTACACGCTCTTTTGATGCCACAAATCCCTTATAGTCTGGGAGTGGTAGCAGGTAGCAGGAAAAAAAACTTAAATTACTTTCACAAGAGGACAAGTCATTTCTTTTGAAAAACAACACTGTGTTGCCTTTTTTTTATAACGCGGCGAATTATATGCTGTTGATCTCGCCGAATGTTCAAGAAGAAGAAGAAGAAAAAGAGAGATAAGCATAATGACCACAAATGCAGATGAAGGTTTTGAAAACCCAGATGTGAGTTTCGTATCTTCCGATTTAATAGTAATACTATGGTTTATATTTTTAATTATTTGTTTAGTTCGACGAAGATGAAGGAGAAGAACAATTTGTACCAACTTCAGCCGGTCGAAAACGTTTATTTAGTAAAGAGTTACGTTGCATGATGTACGGTTTTGGTGATGACAAAAATCCTTATACGGAAAGCGTTGATCTGCTGGAAGATTTAGTTATCGAGTTTATAACAGAAATGACCCATAAAGCTATGGAAATTGGGCGGACGGGTCGTGTTCAAGTAGAGGATATTATATTTTTAGTGCGCAAAGATCCTAGGAAGTACGCCCGTGTTAAGGATTTACTTACAATGAATGAGGAACTAAAAAAAGCGCGTAAGGCGTTCGACGAAATTAAATATGTCGGTCAGTGTGGAAGCAAGCTTTAATTTTTTATAATGTCTGTAATGCTCCGTCTTTTATTTTTAGGCAATGAAGCTAAAATCAAATGACACAAACCCAAGAAAAAAGTGGAAATTAGCTATTAAGGTTATTATATTATTAAACAATTACACTTTAATATACCACAAGGATTTTTTTGCCATTAGTCGAAGTAGTCTTCAATGTCGATGTCGGGATTAAGTATATCGTCTCCAAAAGGTGTTAAATCTATGCCATTTAATATAAGATTTTCGCAAGTTTCCGCTAACTCCGTGTTGCCAATTAGTATAGCACCACGTAAACGGCCATTCTGTAATACAAATTTAATGTATTCACTTCCGGGGGTTGTTCGTAGCAATAATTCGTAATTTGACCCTAAGTCTTGGCCATTATATCGTCCCAATAACACCACAGGATATCCAAATAATTGCGTAACATGACCGAACAATTCAAAGCAAAAGTCTTGATATATTTTTTCACTATTAAACGCAGCAGCCATACTACGTCCAGCCATAGATCCCATTTGACGCGCTTGAGTCCATAGACGCATTTGAAACCAGTGATCGGTCGACGGCCAAGAAGCGGCGCAGACGTCACCGGCTGCGTATATGAATGGGGTAGATGTCTGCATCATTTCATCAACCTTAATGCCCCCATCGTTATCCTCTATGTCTAAGGCTGGCTCAGAGGTGAAATCCAAACGGGGATTTACTCCCGTTGCCGATACTAAGAAGTCGCATTTAATTTGTTTACCAGTAGACAGAGTAACAAGCATGTAACGAGTATCATTTTCCTCACAAGGCACCATACTTGAAACCTGGCAGTTGTAATGTATAATGGGTTTGTTATAATTTTCAAGCTCCTTTAATGATCCCTGTAAGCGAAAATGCTGATGCCAATCGGGACCCAAAGCTGCGCCACCTTTCAAATGGGTTCTAGAATCGTTTGGGGTTAATTTGTCCTTAACTTTTAGTTCATCATAACGCAAACGTTTTACAACACTTTCGGGTTTCGCGTCATTTTGTTGTTGTCCTTTCTCAAACGTTTGTTGAAAAAAATAAGCTGCCCCTGCATCCACAAATGTTGAAGCTATGTGATTGTCTTTTATCACCCAGTGAACATTAACGCCTTTAAGCTCATGCGCCAACTCGCTAGCAATACCCCCATTGCCTACCAATAATATGTTGGTAGCAGTTTTAAGATTGTTTTGAAATTTTAATACTGAATCAGAGTCACGTATTCCTAAAACCAAGGAATTGTTTTCAGATATAAGACGCGGTTGACCTCCAGTGCATAAGCATAAATAACGGTAACGAATTTTGCGATCTTTTTTAGTTATTATAAAGCGTTCATTACCGTTCAGATACTGCAACTTATCTATCTGTGTACGAATTACTGGTGGTAAATAACGGCCTCCATTTTCATCCGTAGCACTCAATGAACGTTGATGTACCTCAAATTTTTGTAAGTATCGAGCAACAGGTTCTAGGTTAGATATCGTCTTAATAATATGCGACTCTGTCAAAAGTAGTATACTTTCTTCGGGGCAGCAAATTGCCAAAGTTTCGGCACAACTAACACCTGCTATCCCACCACCAACAATCAAAAATGTTACATCATCACAGTCCTTCTGCATATTAAAGAGTATATTTACAAAACAACATATATAAAGAGAAAGGTTTCTTGATGTTCACTCTTAATTTGCAAGTTTTACGTTTTTCCCGTAATACTCTCTATAATCGAACTCCAGGAATGGAACGTCAAAAGTTAACAGGCCGTAATCCCAGGCTTTCTCAACAGCTACCAGCAATTGCAAATGCTTTTTTTGGCATAAACCGCTTTTAGTATAACTCAGCACTTCACCTGTTTGAGGAGATATAAACTGACGCAACAAATCAAGATTACGATAGTCCAACACTAAGTATTCGTCCCGGCAAATAGGACAAGGATTCCCCGTGCTAATAGCACCCTTACGTACGCAAGTCTTACGAGTTTTTCGTGGTGGTATTGCTCCTTTATGGTTACGTCTGTACAATTCCCATATAAGTGTATTACCGTAAGTTTGCTGGTAAGCAGAACTTCTTAAATATCTGATAGACGTCTCTACTGGTATAACTTGCGTACGATCTTTATTTTTTAACTTCAATTCAGCCTCAGTTAACTCTTTTCGCTGAGCATCACTGTCAGTAGTTGATTTCTCATCTGTTCTGATACCTTCGGTATTTTCGCAATTCAGCACATATGTGGTTTGCAAAGTCCTTATGGAAGACGGATTAGATGACGTGTGAGCGAAAGCAATTCTACTTAAAATATTACTAATTCCTCGAGTAATCGAAATCATTTTGGTTAAAAAATTATTTCACCAGGTTTTGTAACCTAAGTTGCTAGGGCTGTCGCAATTAAGAACGAGAATAATATATCAATTCTTGGTATTTATTTCATAAATTACGGATTGCAAATATAAAATTCAAACATAGCAATTATTTTTAACAAAATGAACTCTTTTAAGAAATTTGGACTGAAATTTAATTTACGCTTAAGAGATACAGGAGCAGTCCTATATGTGGATGTAAATACGATCGTTCCTCAAAAATCTTGAGAATTTGAGTTTCTTGAGCGTTTTGATATCAGGATTTAATAAATGATCAGTAATGGAAGAAAAAATTCTACAATTTTAATTTTAGAAGCGTTTTACATGTCCTCATTTCACTCTTTCTTTCGCTTCATATCAGCAAATTATCAATCGTTCTGAGACAATTTTGTTCACACTTTCTGAAAATTCTTCAAGATGCAAGTTAAGTGCCCACCGCAATTCCTTCGATCGCAAGAGCTGCTAATGCCTGCTTAAAGTGTTGCATTCCCTGGAGTCTCCCTCGGGTTGCTTTCAAAATCATATAGATAAGTGTTTTCGTCTTTACTTCTTACACAAATTGCGAGTTGAAAAATGCAATTGCATACATTTCCTTTTTTTTGTATGTTAAAAACGTTTGGAGAGAGGCCTTTCACTTATAGGCCTATATCTCCAGCAACAGAAGTAGAGGTTTTATCATATGTGCAGATATGATGAGAGTAAGTTCAAAGTAAGTACAGTCAATCTGGAAGAGAGAATCATACCGAAAGGTAGCTAAGGTAGCTAGAATAAGCAGAGAAGTACAAAAACCTGGATACAAGACAAATTAGAATGAGCACGTTTTTGAGCTCAAAGGATATCATAAAGGTTTTTGTACCTACCGAAAAATCCAAAAATCGATCTGATTTTATCAAAATTCTTTTTTTTTTTGAGGATGAAATGGTCAGCCTATTGAGCTATTCAGCATATGTCACAAGTATCATTTTCAACCATTAGGATCATTTTAAAATAAGTTTTGTCATAGGTGCGATTAGTCTTTAGTCTACAGTTTTATCCCTCAGAACGAAAAGAGAGCTGCAGTTAGGAGTTTACAAGCTATGGACGGATATATTTTGTAAAAGAGACGATCCGCTTTCCCTCTTGCCAGCATATAGACCTCTGATAATGATACTTCCAATTGTGCGCAAAAATTCATTTGGGCTTCTTGAGAGTGGAAATAAGCTTTTTCATTGAAATGAAATCCACAATGAACTGCCACCCAGACAAAGTGACATCAATCAGTAAAAGTATTATCAAGCCCATAATGGATTTCGAGAGCGTTTTGGTTTGTTGGGTCATTTTGATTTATAAGGCATTTGCTGAGAAAAACAAAATTTAGTATGCCGATTCGCTGCTGCTAGAGCTACTGCCTGTTTAATGGCTAGCTACTCGGCAAAGATCAAGGAAAATATTTCCAAGATTTTAATTTTAAAAATGGCACCATGGTCGTATTTCATCACCGAAAAACTGGATAACTCAATGCTTACAGAGTCATCAGAGGCATAAAGCTTCTAGAAATGATGCGGGAATAACTCCTTTGGTCGAAGCAAGTGGCGATAGGATGCTTAGAAAGTCAGGAAAGGAGTATAATTTTGCAAAGACATGGCAAACTCTACGATAGCAAAGAGTGTGCGGCAATCTTACTAAACAGGGCATTACAGCCTTAAGTTTGGTTAGTTCCTTGGGACTAAGAAAAGTGTTGGGTACTTTGTGCTCAATTCATATCTGTAGAATGTTTCATGGATTTTGCTTTGGAAATTAAGCTGCTGCGAAATGAAATGGGTAAACAGAAACAATAAAGATCTGGTTTTACATTGACAATTGATCTTCGAAATGTTAGGGGCCCCTTTGTTCCATACATTGTCTATTAATAGCCATTCCTTCTCTTATATTTTACGCAAAATAGGTTCGAAGCTATCCCCGAAAGGACATAATATGCGTAACGTCATATGAACGGAAGCACCGTTGGTACAAACAATAAATTATCTATTGAAACACGTTTTAATCGGAAGGAGCAATGTCTGTTGATAACAGCGTGGAAGGTGGTTCAAGTTACAACTGAAAGCATTTCCGGAGCGAGTTTTGCTAGATGAGGTTAAATTTCGTTGTACTGAAAATTGACGGGATGATGATTTTTGACATAATTTAGTCATAATATATCCGTTGGTCGTGACAGTTTTCCTAAGTGATGGTTTCACTTTCACTTGAGTAAACCATAATACATTACACACAGCTGACCACCCAGCAACTGGGGCTGCGGTGGATGTTCGTTTTTAAAGTCGCAACAACAATAAAGCTTTTTGTTTACTGTGGTTTTCTCAAAAACACGGTCGAAGCTGTTTTCAAAGCAATCCTTTTGAAGACATGATGAATATTTGCATCAAATTTTATATCGAAATCTGACATAGTCTCTTAGTCATTGGGAAAATACCACTTACAAATTTTTGTTCATCTTACTTGCATTAGGGATACCTTTCTAGGACTTAGGGGTACCTGTTTTGGAACTTAAGTGTGCTATGGTTTAGGGATGCTTGTTAAAAATTGCGTGCATGCGAGGGTAAGCGTATAAAACTGAAAATGATTCTCAATAATTCGAAAAATGTGAGAATAAGTGTCCAATTTGTTTACATTTGTTGAATAATTGTTCAAGTATTTGTGTAAAAATTGCGTGCATGCGAGAATAAGCACGCAATTACTGCTACTGAACAAACAAACCTTCTATCGAGAGAAAGATGAACTATTGGAAATCCCCTTCCGAGACGAAAGTAAGTCAATGCCTCCCGCACTAAGAGTGCATTAAGCGCGTAGATTCGCAGAAGCGGCAAAATCTAATATATATTTTAATAACCTCTGAAGAAAGAGAAGTCATTTCGGTGAGAAAAATAATTATTTCTTATAAGAGAAAAGGATTCGTTTAAAAAGCATATGAAAATGAAAGTGAGTATGCGGCGGCTTTGCCAAATTCGTTTGCAAAGAAAAATTAAAGGGATTATACCAAAGAATTCAAGAGAGCGTATTTAAAATTTGGACACGTCACTTCTAAATAAATGAGGTGCTATCAAAATTTTACAACCTACAATAGACGATAAAATGCTTAAAAACGAAGAGAAGCAATGAACTAAGCCAGGACGAAAAGCTATGTACACACGTAGACGACCGCAAAGTCCGTTTTCTGTTTCAGTCATTTCAGTTTCAGGTGCTCTGCTTGTGCTACGGCCATTAATGTCTATTGGCTCACGCATTTTTCCTAATAATTATATTAGTAATATAGGACACTCAAACAACGTGAGAAACGCGTCCACAAAATCTTAAATTCTGTTGCTAAGTCACTGGAAAATGACATAATATTCCTTGAATAACAAAGCATGAGTACCAGTACTACTACCATGTTACTTGGCACGGTTTTTCACACCACCTTTGAGGTATAGTGATAGGTGTTGTAACGTCCGCGAACAAATTCAGAGTAGGGTGTCAGTCGGCCTGTTTTTGTCGTAAATGTAGTAATAACGGCATGCCGTTATGTAAAATAGCATGATCACGAAAATAGAGGCTTGCCGCTATGCATAAAGAGATCAAGGAAAAGAAAAATGAAACAATTTGAGTGAAGAGAGCGAGAAAATTATGAGTTTTCGGTGGTTTTTTTTTTGGCTACGAGAGGAGTGAAGTTTGAGTTGTGAAAGAAATCGGATGGAAAGCGATGGTGACGTTTAAATCAGAATAATTGACCTTTTTTGTAGTAACAATTTATTAAAAATGAAAAAGGAGAAAAAAAAAGGCAAATATAATTAAAAATCCTTTTTTTATTTGTAAATGTTATCAGTACGAGTTTTTAAATCGATATAAGTATTAATAAAGGCATAATCAATATTAAAAAGAAAAAGATTCATATTATCTTAGGCACAAAGTGAAGTGCAGGATAAAAAAAGAACCAACAGAGTTCACGTATATATTCATAGAGATGTATAGTTCTGCCCCTACGGCAAAGGAAATTGTTCTAGAGCGATCTACGATGATAATACATACATAAAGTGTAAAAGCCGAACTAGCACTAAAAATAGTAACTAATTCTATAATGTCCTAAGTAAAAAGATTATTTACTTTAATTCAAGGTTAATCATAATGAAAATTCAAAAGAAAAAGAACAGAAACATTTTGTATATTATTCCTCGGAATTTTTAGTCAAACATTATAACGGGTTTTGTGTCTAATTGCATAATTTCCTCATAATGAATAATTTATAACAACAAGAAATAAGTCATAACAGATCTCTAGTTGAAAAGTAAAACAAGAAACATATGCGGTTATGTTAACAACTATTTTGTTATATTAGTGCTAAATTGTATTTATTTTACTTGCTGCTGTTTTAATGACTATTTAAAAGTTTAAGTTTTCGATTTTTTTGCTTATGCACAATTCTAAACTGAGATTATATTGAAACTAACCCAAAATAAGTAAATAAAGTGTTTGTTAAAGCCTTTTTAAAAAAAAAAAAACAAAATTTTTATTATTCATGACATCCTGGTAAAAAGGGTGAGTAGCTAAGCCACTGTTAATGACTTAAAACTATGTATTGTTGTGAAATTGCCTGCCTTAGTGTTTTGCAGTTTGGGCTTGTCCTCGATAGCGTTTTGCTTCCTTACTAACAACAGGTCAGTCCGCTTAAATGTCTACCCGTAGATCCTAGTAACTTTCAGTCCAGTTCCTCCGTCTGGCGAAAAACTGAACACCTCTGGGTAGGGCACTTGATCATCCGCCTCTGGCTCTAACGTAAGGTAAGAAACCGTTAACCGCATAAACGGCAAAGCTTATGTAACATAAATATTGCACAAAGATTGTATAAACACGCACACGAGCATAAAATATGTATAGAATCTGTATAAAATCTGTATAAAATCATTATAATATATGAACACACATACGAGCATAGGAATTGCTAAAACTGTATAAACATACACGGGCATAGAGATCTGTAGAAAAATGTACAAATGCCGTTAGGCC